CGCTCCCGCGACCCTCCTCGTTCGACCGGAACAACCCGGCCCCGAGAACCTTCTCTCTCTCTCTCCTCTGCGTGTTTACAAGCGTTCCACGCAGCAGAGTTGCTCCAACTCCCTTGTTGTGGTACGCGTCGTCCCCTCGCGTCGTTTCATCTCGCGTCCATCTGCGCACTTATTAAATTCAATCGGTCCACCACGATTTTCGCACGATCCGAGGGAGGAAGGGAAAAAAGCGTTGGCAACCGATGACTTCACCGATGCTCGTCAGCCTGGCACGGAACCTCCTCCTCCTCCTCCTCGTGGATCATTGTCCTCCGTGAATGTGAATACGTAGGAAAACGTATCGAAAAGTATCGAAAAGAGAGGGAGAGAGAGAATGTGTGTGTATATGCGTGTATGCGTGTGTGTGCGTGTGCGTGTGTGTGCGTGTGTGCGGCTGGTCGGCCGCGTGCGACGAATGGAAGGATGCGCGTCAGCGGACACGCTCGCCTGGCAGACGCGTTCTCTACCGTCTGGCGTACCCGCTCGGTTGACGACTCGCGACTGAGCTGCTGCTCGCGGTGCGGTATCGGTCAGGCGGTCGGTCGGTCGGTCGGTCGGTCGGTTAGTCGGTCGACTGGTCGGTCGGTCGCCTAGCTAGCTATCCAGCTAGCTAGCTAGCTAGCTCGCTCACTCGTTCGTTCGTTCGTTCGTTCGTTCGTTCGTTCGTTCCCTCGCTCGCTCGGTGGCGAGGTAACCGGCAGCTCCGGAAGGGAAGCGTGGTGCTCTCGAGCCTCGAGCCTCGAGCCACCGGAGCAGCCGCGACGCAGCGCCGAGCGAACGGTCACCTAGCCAAGGTCCAAATTGATTTTTACGTCGCGGCGGCGGGGGCGACGCACGACGGTGTCCCGACGCGAACCGCTTCCCCGTTGCCCGGGCAACCCTCAACTATGACGTCATTCCTCCCTCCACCCTACCCTTTACGCCATCTTCAACCCCCCCCCCTGCTTCCATATTCCGCTCCACACTCCCCTGCCTTCGCCGCTCTACCACAACGTTCGTTTCGTTTCCCATCCTCTGTCTCGCTCCATCCATCCCTCGATGCGAGCACACCTTCCTCGTCTATCAGTCCCGCTTTCGCTCGATTTTCCCTTTACCTGTCTTTCCCACCCCCTCTCTTTTTCCTCAAACCTCTTCGTTACCCGTTCATTCGTTTGATTCCATCGCCGTTTCCGTTTCTTCACCTCTCCTCGCGTGCTCGTCACTCGAATATATATGTCGTTTCTCCCCTGCTATTGAATTTAAATGTAGGTTTATGGGGCTACACTGGCTATACTCATTCGAGAGATTTATATATCGATTTAATCGTTCCTCGATTTTAATTTTCCTCCAACTCGAAAACTTTACTTCTAGTTTTTTTCTATTCGTCTTCTATCATATATTCAAGTTTAAGCTTTATACAGGAATTTCTTTCTCTCGGATTTCTCCATCTTCGTGATGGTCGACGCGTGTATTCAAACGCACACCACGATTACTATGTCTATATCTGTGTATTTAAATCCACTAGCCTCCATTTTTCTCCCGTCCAATGCACCACGTGCATAAAATCTTCGCGCTCTAACTAATTGCACGTTAACCCCCTCCTCCATCCTCTTCTTAAATAACATTTTATTTTCCACAGTCAACGTTTCTTGTTCCTCTTGCTCGTTCACGCTCATCCTCCTGCTTTCGTCTCTTCCGGTCCTCCTTAAGCGTCCAGAATTCCACGTTACCAACCTCTTGCTCTCTTCCTCCCTTTCCTGATATCTCTCATTTCCCGTTTGTCGTTGGTTTTCCCGATTTCTGAGAATGGCTTCCTTTCTCCACCTTCCCTGCTGTTTTTAAACGCCCTCCTTTTTTATTTTGTTACACCTTGTTATTGCCATGCTTAACTCCTAATCTTCCGTTTCACACCAAAGTTTTTATTCCTAGTTTTCCTTCAAGATTTTTCTTATCTTGAAAGAAAATATACTCGCATCGTTTGATCCATGCATTTCCGGTTCTTTATTATACGTTTGTTATTGCATTAATTCAAACAGGGGAGAAAAAAATATCGAAATGAACGAGATTCGTATCGTATCGCCGTTTCCTTTCCGATTCGTAGAGATATTCTGAATGTATGTTATACCGCCTAGACAGCTGATAACCAACTTGACCCGAATATGTAAATACACGGGATATATTTGCGACGATTAGCTTGGCAATTCTTATAACGCTCTTTGAATTTTCATTTATTCCAACAGGTCGTGTTTAATGCGAGATGTAACGTCGTCTTTGTTCTATATCGTGCGATGCTTAATTTATGTATGAAATTATAACTCGGGCACGTTATTCTCTCTCTCTCTCATGCGCGCTATTTATTTTATATTGTATTATTTGTTGTTTCGAACTTTCCCCGTGAATGAAATATAAACGCTCAAGGTAAATCATAACTAATAAATTTGCGTCGCAGGTAACAAGAAAGAGCAAATAACGGGACGTACGGGTGGAAGACGACTGGGAAACAAGATATTAATTTAAAATTCAAAAAGAAGTGAATCTCGCTAAAAACGGTTGAGCGTCGAAAAGGAAGAGAGAGAGGACGATCCAACGTTTGTCGTGAACATCCTGAAACTATTTCGGATGGGGCCAAGACGTAACGAATGGGCCAGTGTGTGTATATGTGTGTATATGTGTGTGTGCTTCGCCGCCAGGTAAACTGACGACCCTAATGAACGTGCGAAAGAGTGCAACCTCAAAACGCAAGTGCATGTCCTCCAGCGCAAGGTGTAACGTCCGTTTAAGTGGGCCTGAGTCCGCGCTATCTTCCGCTTTGCC